TAATACAGAGGGAGCACTTAGAGCAGCGCTGGCCATCTGTGTCAGCTATTGTCACTTTCCTTCTTTTCTGAGGATTCCAGTGCCCTTTTCTGATTCTGTCTCTCAGTCACTTACAGACTCAGAATCTCATCTTGAGAGTTAGATGCCCAAGTGTAGGACCATCTCTTCCCCATGTCCCTTCAATTCTGTGTCAAGGACACAGGGCAGGTTTAAGATGAGCAGCCACTGCCTTCTGATCAGCATCGTAGGGGGGAGAGACCCCTGCAAGGTTCTGGGAAGAGAAGGAGACAAATGACAAAGTGGTGGGCTCACGAAAGGGACCTGTGACAAATGGCTGGAAGGACTGGGTGGACAGATGGAGAGGAGCAAAGGCCCCTGTCCTTTTATTGGAGAACTCCTTGTGGCTCCCTGAACAAGACAGTGGCTCCCCCGGGGCTGGGCTGAGGGTTGGTCTCCCTGGCTCTCTCTGCTGGGATGAGTAATATGGACCAGGGCAGAGGGTCTATATCAATCTAACCCAGCAGAAAAATGAATGAAAATTGAATTCCCCAAGGAGAATCGGGGAGCTGTTATCCAGACAAAGATAAATCAAAGGATGCCACAGAGACTGGGAGAGCAGGTTTCCAACGGCAGGAGAATAATTAAGGAAACAGTTTCAAAATGTAAATGATAAAAGAGGGTTTAGGAGGAATGAGGACAAGGAGGAGATGATGGAGATAGGGTGATGGGGAGCAGGGGCGGGTGAGTTCGCTCCCCAGTGGAGAAAGAGGCCGGGGCTCAGGATTGCTAGCGTCTGAGGGTGCGCTCCCCCCTCGGTGAAGCTCCTAAAATGTAAAGGTTAGAAGACTCCCCAGTCAGCTGTGCGGAGTGGAAAGAGCACCAGATTGGGAGTCAAAGGCTGGATTTAATTTGCAGTGGGCTTTGCAACTTATTAGTAGAGTGACCTTAGGCAAACCACTTAACCTTTCTGTTTCCTGATCCTCATACCCAAGCCCAGGCCTGATCATGAAGATCAAATGACCTAAAATATGTGGAAGAAATTTGAAAAAATGTGAAGTGCTAGACAAATGCACGCTACCATCATTTTCCTAAGTTCAGTTTCTGGAAATCCTTCCCTCAGAATTGGAACCACTGACATGTTGGGTTTGGTTCCCAGAAATGTAACGTGTAAATGTCCAGCAGGTGCCGGATACTCTTACCGACATATTGACTGTCCGCCCTGGGGGAGCCACCTCCCAAAGGCACAGGTCTGAGGGCTGCTGCTCCTTGGAGGTCACCTGCCAGCCCTGGGCATCTTTTCGTGAGAAAAGCCCCCTTGAGTCAGCTCATAGGTTAAATTCCAAACAACAGGATGCAATATTGTGAGATGTTAAGTATAGGAAAATATTAGCAGGGATAACCACCACCCAAGTGTCTGTCTGTGGGACTCAGCTATTCCCCATTCTCTGGGGACTGAGACTAGCTTAGCTAGCTTCAGTTTTTCCCTCCACCAAGTAGGTGTAATAAAACCACTTATGGAATCGTTGAGAGGAGTAGAACTATGCAGGTGGAAGCACTTACCTTGGGGCCTGGCACAGTTTTAAACTTTCAGTAAGTGTTGGTTGTTTTTATGACCATGGTATACCATTATGTTGTTGTTGTTATTACTGTCAGCAGCAGTGGGCACTAAAAATCGATTTAAGGAAGCTTTTTATTGGGTTTTCATCATTAGCTAGGGAAGTGGGGACCAGGAGGGGGGTAAAATGTCTTGGCAGATGCAGATGTTAGTAGAAGACCGTGGGAATGGGACCCAGTTCTCACCAGGAGGCAGATGCCTCTGGAAAAGTCTTATAATGTGGAACAGGCATCTGTTGGCTGAGCTGCCGGCCACAGGTTCCAGGACTGAGGGCCCAGTGGACCTCCTAAGGCTCTTCTGCCACCAGGAGAAGTGACAATGGCCTCCCCTGTACCAGGGCTGGGCACAGGAGGGTCCCCACCACAGTAATGCTGCCCCTCCCCCAGCCACAGGCTAGTGGCATGTAATGAGGAGAGGGGAGGACCTGGGCAGCTTCATACCAGGGGAGCAGGAGCAGCAGGGAACATTTGAAAACTATAATTCTAAATTATAAAAGTAATCGCCACACAGGCTCCACATTTCACTGCATATAAATATTTTATCTTTTAATAATAGTACTAAAAAAATATAACCACTTTACAGGAAATCTGGGAAAGAGAAAAAAGAAGAAACACTCCGTAATATAATATACTTTTTACCCTAACGTAGTTTTGAATAGCATTTGGATATCTTTCCTTTCAGTCCCCCGCCCCCAGTGTTTTTGAAAACAGTATTTTATCAGTTTTTTTTTCTGTTTGATAAAATGTGCTATTGAGGAAACTGAAAAAAACAAAAACAAAGAAAAATATCCACTGTACAGATAATCACTTTTATTTTTTCAGCATATTTTCATCTATGCTTCTCTTTTTAAAATATCTCAAAATTCATATTGCTTCATATTCTCTTTTTTCCCTCCTAATAAATCTTAAACACTTTTCTACATTACTAATATCCTTCTGATATATTTTCTAACAATTACATGGCATTCCATTTTATTTACTCAAATTTATTTAATAATCCCCTATTGTTGGATATGTAGGTTATTCTCTTTTTAAAATGTTATGAAGTTCCTTGTAACTATATCCTTATAAATATTCTCGATTATTTTCTGCAGATAATTTTCTACATGAATTGGGTCAAATTTTTAGGCTACAAAACATATCGCCAAAATGCCCTCAGAAGACACTGCCCCTTTTTGAATTCCCATCAGAATATTGTTTTCTAATTTCTGAACATCCTCATCAACAGTGGGTATTATCACTGCTAACATTTTTCTATACTTAAAATCATACAGTATTGCATCCTGATTTTTAAAAAATCAGTCATTTCCATGTTGCTAGATTTCATAATTAGTTTTAATAATTGTATAACATAGTACCAAACAAATTTAACTTATTTCACTAAACATCTTTTATTTTGTGGGGTATTTAGGTTATTTTTCTCCAAAACATAATGCTGTAATAACATCTTCATGTATGAAACTATTTTTTTCAATGTTATTGTGTGTACTAGTGGAATTGCATGAGCTAAAGGGTATGAAAGTTTTATGGATTTGATACAAATTGCCAACTTGCTTCCCACATGGACTTAAGAGTTTATAACGCACACCAGCAATATTTGTGAGAGTAGCAGATGGCCATTTAACAGATGAGAGGAAGTATGTACTGTGATGTTTTATTTTGCTTGTCTTGGATTGCTAACAGAGGCTGGCACTTCCTCGTGTTTGTTTACTAGTTATATTTTTGTGGAAAACACTGAAAATGTCACCGTGGTTCTTTGCTTTTTTTTTCTTGGGGGCTGGAGTCACCTGGCAGGTAAACCGGGAAGAAAGTGTGCCAACCCCGTGCCAGTAGCCATAGAAGTCATTGTGACACTGAAGACAAATGCTAAGTGCAGGTGAACGGGCCATCATGCTCGTCCCTCCCCAACCCTAGTGTCCCCTGTCTGGGGACAACACCAGGAAACAACAAAAAAAACAACAAAAACAAACAACAACAACAAACGGGACGTGCGGGAAGTCTGGAGAGGGTACACAGTTCCTCTTCCCACGCGAGCTGGACCTCACTGTGCTGGGAGGACACATGTGTCTGCATCTCTAGAACGAAAAACGCAGAAGGGGCTGACGCACGGGCTGGGACCCGGAGAGCCGCTAATTCCCTGCGGCATCGGAGCTGGGGTTCCCGAGCCTGCAGTCAGGCGGCGTCGAGTGTCTGATGAAGCCTCAGAGAACCTCCACGGAGACCCGCTCCGGCAGCGGGCCTCTGCTTGATCTCCTCCAGGAACCTGCGTGGAGAATGTGAGCGTTGATGTGTGTCTTGTCAGTACAATCAGCAGCACACGTCCCCTCGCTGCTGAGCCCGGGTGTCCTGCTTGCAGGCGCGAGGCGGAGGTTTTTTTCAAAGCGCCCGCGGTTGCAGCGGGCTGCGCAGAGCGGGCTCTAGGGACCGAGGACAGGACCACGCTGAGCGGACCAGGGCTGAGCGGCCCGGGAGGCCCTGTCGCCCCAAAGCAAGGGGCCCCGACGGGTGGAGAAAGAGGGTAGAGCGG